TTATTTTAGGGTGGAATATCACAAGAGGTACTACAGTCTCATATCCTGCCCATCCCCATCTCTCTCTCATAACCCCTTGAAGTCTTATTAAGAAGACACTGCTGGGTGCAGTGGGATATACCTGTAATCCCAGCAGCTCAGGAGGCTGAAACAGRAGGATTCCAAGTTCAAGCCAACCTCAGCAATTTAGTGAGGCCCTAAACAACTTAGGGAGACACTGTCTCAAAATAAATAAATAAATACATGCATACATACATACATAAATGTATGTCTAGGGATGCAGCTTAGTAGTTAAGCACCCCTGGGTTCACTCCCAGTGCCGATAAATAAATAAACAACAGACAGACTCATTTTGGCCAGGGTCAGCACCTGCACATTTCTCACCTTTCTCTGCATAAAGCTCACCCAAAAATACAACTTACCCTGTCTCAAAATCTGCTGCTGGTACTTATGAAAACTTGGGCTTTCCTAGTTTTCTGTTTATCCAAAACAGCAACTCACACCTACAACTCAAATCCAATATGGGGGACAGAGAGAACAGGGTGACAAATATAGTCTTGACTTGCCAGTAAAATGAAAAGATGTTGCCTCATTTTCTAAATGCAGTTTCTAATCAGCCATAAATTGGTTTATGAATCTCTGGGTTACTTTGAAGTTTCTACCTAGTGCCTGTGCCTTAGTATTATCTCACAATTAGCAAGCATTATATAGATGCATGCAACAAGAATGCATGCAATTCTTATATGAATATCTTAAGTGTTTTTAAAACTCTAAGGTAAGTTTAGTTGGGAAAGGAATGAAAATAAGGTTCTGGCTTTCAGTTTCACATGTGAGCAATGTTTTCTAAATTAACATAGAAAAACCAAGAAATTGGCTAATTTCTAATAACCAAATTTTAGGTATCACAATTATAATCTAGGAATAGAGAGACACTATGTTTGTACCCCTCTTTGCTTTTAATCCCCACATAACTTAATACTGCAGAATAATACGTAACTATCCATTAATTATTCTCTTTGCTAATAAAAATTTTTATTAGAAAAAGTTATTCATAGGGAAATACCGTAAACAATATTCAATGACCTATTTTTCTCTTTCCRAATCTTAAGTTTAAGCATCAAACCTAGGCAATAAGCTAATTTTGTCCAACAGTATACTAAAAGCATTTATTGCTGGACTCTGATGCATGCCTATAATCCCAGCTACTGAGGCAGCTGAGGCAGGAGAATCACAAGTTCAAGGCCAGCATGGGCAACTTAGGAAGGCCATTGTCTCAAAATAAAAAGAGCTGGGGATACAGCTCAGTAGTAGATTTAATCTCCAGTACCAGAAAATAAAAGATTAAAGAAAAGTTTGAGCTGAGCACCGCAGCTCAAGCCTATAATCCAAGAGACTTGGGAGGTTGAAGCAGGAGGACCAAAAGTTCAACGAAGCCAGTCTCAGCAACTTTAGAGTTTATAAAAGCCTGTCTCAAAATAAAAAGGACTGTTGTAGCTCACTAGTGAAGTACCCCTGGGTCCAGTTCCCATTGCGGGGTGAAGGAGAATATTACTRAAATTGCGTGGTCAGTTCTTACTTTCTCAATTTTGGGTAAAATACCATGTGATCCTAAAGAAGAAATTGTGTAGACAGATGTGTGCTATTTAATTACACATAAGCCTGAATTGAAAGAAGAAATGTTGATTTCATCAAAAGGTAAAAAATACCTATTATCAAATAGACTTAATTTCAGCTGAAGTCTTCACAGAGTGAAGACTCTTAGTAGTAGTATTATCATTATTTTAAATGCAAAGTTTAGCTAGGTGTTTATTTATGAAAAACAAGTGTAACCATGTACCAAAAGTTACATTAAAGCCTATGAAATATCTAAATACGTTTAAGTCACAGCATCAAAGTATTTTCACTGTCCTCAAATAAATTACCATGGAACTATTATAACTAGGTTTCAAGTGTGAATCTATACTAAATTTTTTTTAAATGTTAATCAAAAGTATTTAAACCCAAATCTTTAGTTTACTGTTCCCAAAGACAAATTTGACATTTTTAGGTGTAAATTAGAAAGTATGTAATTAATGGATTGGAATTTAAATACCATTGTCAGAAACAAGCTGCTACCTGATGAATTTCAAGGAAAACTACTGTATATGAAATTTTTAAAAGTGAATTCTCTACCCTCTCTCTCAGCACTTTCTCAATTTTCCCATTACAATTAACAATACAACTCAGCAGTCAGGTCTTCCAGACTAATAACCTCAGAATTTATTTTTAACTCCTGACTCCTCCACAAGTACTCCCCTCCGTCCAATCCAAAGTCCTGCTGGTTTCTTCATTCATACTGTCTCTGAATCTGTTCCTTTCATCCATTTTCACATTTTAATTTATACCCTCATGATTCACAATATTCCTTACTATTTCCCTAAAAGGGTCGTAATGTCTCTCCATGCAAATCCATCAACTYAACCTCCCAAATCACCTTCCAGTATCTGTTTAATAATCTATAGTAAAATCCAGATCTCTCTTGAAACTCAACCAAACTTTTACAGGCCCCTTTTCCTCTCTGCTAACCTTCCCATATTTCTCAAATTTCATCTCTTCTTATTTTCCTATTTAGGCCCTTTAAATCAGATTTACCACCTTGCTTGTTGCCTCTCATACAAAGCTCACCATCTCTGTGCTGTACATGCCTCCCACCTAGAGTCCTTCATACTTCTCCAACAGTTCAAGTTACAGCCTTCTTTAACACCTAAAAGCACACCTCTACAGAAGTCTTCCTTCTCCAACCATTCTCTCATCCCTTTATTCTTTGTCCTTCTGAACACAGTTCAATTTGTATTTTATAATCTTGCAGTTATCATACTATTGTTTTCACATTTTTTCCCCTCATATCCATCCTTTACCATTAAATAAGTTTTTGAGGTCAAGTACTATAATTTCTTACGTAGCTCTTTTGTAGTGAACAGAAGTTCCCTTGAATACTACTAGTACCCTAACATATGCTCAATAATTCCTATTTCTTCTAAATGTCCCTAAAGTAAAGGTTAACTATGCCCTTTAATTAGTCATAGTCGCCAAGTTTTTATTTTTGCCCTTTATAAATTGCAATTGATGAAATATCTTAACCTACAAATTTAAGAGTTACATCTATATGAAGAACTAAGGAGTCATTTTTCAAAGAAAATCCTGGAAATAAAATGAAAAGTCCCCAAATTTAACATTGTAATTTAGCATTACACATCTCTGAACTAAACATAATAAATGAATTACTTAAAATTTTTGAGTGATTTTTAAACTCTAGTACAAAGATGTAAAACATACAAACACTCCAGTACCACAGAGGCTCTTAAGCAGCTATTATAAGATTTGCTTCATCACAGATGAAAACTACACCAGAATTTTAAATAATTATTTTCAAATGACCCCATGAAGTGCTTAGAAAGCATGATCCTTCCTTGAAAGATGCAAAATCAGCTTCCCTCTTCACATACCCTGCGTTCTCTACTAGCTAGTCACCAAGAGAAAAAAACCAACTTTCAAAAATAACCTCCCATCAGCTATTGGACTATGTTTTAGTCAAGTTCCATAAGCCAACATGAACTGAAATCTTGAGTTCAATTAAAACTGATCATTTTGTGTTGCATTAAGTATATAATCAATGTCACCTAAGAGCATACACATTTGTGTTTTGATTTTTAATCTTAGCCAGAGGCAACAAAATAGTTTATCTTTCCCTTCATCTTGCCCCTTTCTCAGGGGATAAGAAACAATATAGATATGTTTGTCAAATTCTGCAAGTATGTTTAAATAGCTGTCATTAAATACCATACAAACATCTCCACAAATAGATACAGTGACATAGGATACTTTGTATACCAAACACTTGAATAACAGATTTTCAGTACAAATCCAGGGCAAGAGTACCGTCTAGCAAGAAACCTAACACAGCCCAGATAGCCCTATTATTTATAGGATGACAGTCTTCTGCAACAGCTATGATGGAAAGAATTAAATCCATATTCTTAAGAGTTAAATCCACAGTTTTAAATATGAGGGGAGTTAATCAACAGTATTTTAAATAGTCCTAAAAAGGAATCCATTGTACTCCAGAACATTTGACAAGTAATGTATGCAAAGACACCTCAAAATTCAACTTAAATCACAATGAGTCAGTGACAATTATTATTTAACTCAGTTTTGGCACTGACAATACAAACCTCAATCAAAACTTGGACCCACTTCCAAGTTACCTTTTGATTAAACAAATTATATGGTGGCAGATTGGTAATGTCAAAACAGGAAGGTTAGGAGATAACACACTAAACCACTTATCCAATTGGAAACAATGCACTTAAGATGCAAATGCTGCTCGATATTTATCGTCTCCCACCAGACCCTACTAAAGGGAGGGCTGAAGGCTCGCCTCCAAATACGAATGCCAGTTACTGAGCAAGTCCATCTCCAGATTAAGAACAAATAATTTGTGTATCACTCAGGCAAAGAAGAAATGTTAGGAAGCTGGGACATTTAATGTCTATTTAAGTATACAAAACTATGATAACCCCTGAAACCTGAACTATCTAAAACATCCTCCCTCGTTCCGGAAGACACACGCTCCGAAAATGTACATAATGGTTTATGGATCAMGTCTTCCTCATTATTCAAAAGCATGAACAAGTAAAAACTTCCATGGCTATTTTAACGTGGAAACAGTCAAGCAACCTGACAAAGCTGACTACCAAAACCAAGGAAAGTATAAGAAATAAGTTCCAAATTGAATCATCCAAATAAAAATCACATTCTCTCAATCCAAGGTTAATGAGACCAGGGAGGAGGTATGGGAGGAGAAAGGAGTGAGCTGCCTCATCTTTGACTGAAGACGGGTTTTGCCCTTTTCCATTACTCTGATTGATCTGGAGGTCTAATATTTTAACATCCTGCTATTTCGAGGTTTCTTATTTTAAGGGTGAAGTGGAGTAGAGGTGTAAAATAAAATCGATACTCACTGCTAACTTTCATGCTGCCAAAGGCTGAAGGCTGCTGCACTGGCTTGCAGCTCTCCGCAAAGGAGGTGGTTCTGGGCCGCCCTGACATGATCTCTCTTCCCGAATCACCTTTTCCTTCCTTCCTCCTTTTCTTCCTTTTGTTTTATGTTAGGGTGTTAGGTTAATGATAAATGCAGCATTAAGTTCTCTCACAAGAAAAAGAAAAGAAAAAGAAAAAGACTTCGTTCTCCAGGCTTTTAACTTTTTTGTATAGCTATTAAAAAAAAATACGAGCTACGTATTTCTCCTTCAAGACAGATCGGTACGGATATTGAACATATAGATAATTTGGGGCTGGAATGGGGGATTTACAATTCTTTCACCTCCCTTTCCTGAGAGAGGAGGATGGGGTGGGGGAAATCCTTTAAAAATATATATCACGTGAAACGGRAGCAAATACTTGATTGAAAATAAGTACTTTGAATATTATATTTTCCTCGGGGATTTTTTTCCGAGTCAATGAAGAAGGGAAGCGGCGGAAGGATCACGAGTCTCACGCTTGAAGAGAGGGGGATGGGAGGAAGGGGTGGCTCCGAGATGCGACGGGAAACGCTGCGGCTCCGGCAGCGGCGGGATCCAGCGGGCTGGCGGCGGGGGCCCGGCGACCAGGAGGGCGGCGGAGTCGCGAGTCAGTCAGAGGCGGGCGGTGGCGGCGGCTCCTCTCCTCATTGCGCCAGGAGCAGCTGCAGGCGGCGGCTGGATCCAGCGGCCATGGCGGCGGCGATAGCGGAGGCAGCTCCCTTCAGACCCCAGGCAGCGGCTCCTCGACTGCTCCCCATACGCCGGGGACATGGGAACCCGGCAACCGCTTCCGTCCCTTGGGGCCCCCTCCCCCGTCCACGGCACCGGCGCGGCCGCCCTCCGCCCCTCGCCTCTGATCGGTGCTTGCTCAGGAAGTGTCTGCGCTTTGCCCCGAGCCCGGAGCCCTGTCAGCGGCTGCGGGGCCAGGTCCTCTTCGCTTCCTTCCTTCCTTCCTTTGTCACTCGGCCCGGGCGGCGGCGGCAGCGGCAGCAGCACAAACCAGCATTCGCCCGGGTCGGGGGCAGCTCTGTGTGAGGAGCGCCGTCTGCGCAGCCGCCTAGCGCTTCCCCGCTCCCCCTCCCCCTTCCTACTCGTCCTCCGCCTCCTTCCTCCCCCACCCAGCCTTACACCGCCCAAAGCCCGGCCGCCCGCGTAACAGGCGTCTGGGAATAGCCSACCGAGTCCGCGCCCGCCCACTTCGGCTGGGAAGCCGAAACCCAAAGCGGAGCCAATCACCAACGTCTCTCGTTTGCGGCTCGTTCCGGAAAAAGCCGATCTGTTTGAGAAGCCAATTAGAAAGTGTCGCTGGGAAACCACGCCTAATGAACGGAAAATGCCGAAGGCAGCCGAACGGAAAGAAAGTGGATTCGCCTTGTTCTGTGGCTGGCTGGGCGAGAAATTCGACTATAGCAAAAGTGGCCAATCAGAGTTGCCGGCCCTCAGGAAAAAGCATGAAGAGTTAAGGACCATGAAACCTGGAGTCGCGGGTGAAACTTCATGGCTGGGCGCCGCGGCCGCCTCACAATTGGCTGTAAAACTCCACTGGGAGTGTACCTTTCTCATTGATTGGTGAAAGGAAGAGGGCTTCCGAGGACATTTAGCCAGTCAGAACTTCTCCTCCCTCGTCAAGGTGGGGAGAAGAAGAAAGCAAAGAGAGGACGTCTATAAAGCGCCGTCTCATTGGCCTGACGCTTTGGAGATTAAGTTGGGGCAGAAGGGAGGAGGAGTGAGGCCGAAACCCCCAGCTGCGGCCAATCGGCACTCACTGCCGTGCCATCGCAAGACCTAGCTGTAGTATGATTGGCTTCCGGCCTTCGGCGGCGGTCCCTGGAGCAGGGAGAAGCTCGCCCGGGTCGTGGCGGACGGTCTGACGGGCTTGCCTGCGGCTGCTCCCAGCCTGTGCGGAAACCGCAGATGGGGCACCCGGGCTCTCTGCACAGCCCAGCCGAAACTGCTGCGGTCAGCGGGGCAGGGCATGGAGCACTCAAGCGAGCAGAGAAGCGAGGGGCTCTCCCCACCCACTGGAGCCCTTCCGCGGGGCGCGGCTTACTCGGCGCACCCTGGGCTCTCAGCACGGGATCGCGCGTGCCTGCTATTTGGGGGCGTCTTCCCCCAAAAGGGCCAGACGGACAAGGGGCCGCCCAAGGCTGGTACGAGTTCTCAGGACCTAAAGTAGGAACAAAGCTTCCAGAGGTAGCGCCTCTGGGCAGCTGCGCCCCGCCCAGCCGCCGGGACCACTGATATAGTGAAGCCCACTCTGCCTGGTGCGCGCGGCCAGGCCTGGCCTTCTGGAAACGCCCCTGAGAGATGAGCTCATGCTCCTTGCGCGCGCTCCTTAGGCGCGACTGTCCTGCGCAAAACCGGCCCTGAAAGCAGGTGAGGGGAAATGCCGTCAGGCCGGATATCCTGAAACCTCCAAGGGAACGGAGAGTCAGAATTGCCCATAGTATCTTGGATCCTTTGGAATTAGGGTAATCTCTAAAAGTGCTATTTGTGTAGGCTTCACACATAGGCCAGTGTCCATTGTTCTATTAGAAAAACAGTTCTTTTGGTCTGCCTGAGAACAGTAAGGTATGGCAACACCAGACTAAGAAAAAGTAGAATGAACGCTTACCATCCTGACTGTAATCCAGTAGGGCTTGTAATTTCCATGTGCAGAGTCATCCCTTTCTGTTAAGATACTATCTCCAGAAAGAACATGTAAAAGTACGTGTACTTGATCAGATTACGGGCCATCGCTTTGAAAACTGATGATGGACTTGGTACAGAACAAAATAAGCTTTGATAGCAGATAGGAAAGGTCTTGATAACGTTTCAGACTCACATCTGTCTACAGAGGCTGGACAAGTAAAGCAAATAAATGACACTTGATTTGTGTAAAACAATGGGAAATGATACAGAATGTGGTATATTGGAATATCCATAAAGGGAGCAGCTGCTCCACTCTAGCAGATTGTTGCCCTCAGGAATGAGGGTAAAGTATTATGAGATGTTCTGGTTTTCTCCCAAGAGAAACCATRGGGTCTTTGTGTGAGATTTCTAGATGTTTAAATGGTGGTAACTAATATTTGAGAACCCTGCCGACCAAAGTAAGAACATCCCAAGGTAGATGTGGCCAACAGGCAATCAATCAATTTGTGATCTCAAACCTAAGCATAGCTTTATATCCCAAGAGCAACAGAGGATCTTGTTCTTTGCAATTAAAAGAGAACATGAGGTCACTGGATGCTATGGGTGTGGTAAAGAATGTTAAAAGCAAAGTCATTGCTTGGCGACTTTGTCAACTGAGTGGTGCCTGTCTGCTATATGAAACACCTTTTCTGGTCCTAAATGCTATGAAGAAGAGCTTTAAATACTGCCTGCCTCTTCTTCCCGTCTCTACTCCCAATTATACCAACAGGAAAGTAAGTAACCTTTAGGTTTTAAAAACAGGAATCATGATTATTATTCTATATAATACAAGTAATAAATACAAAAATAGTCTAATGTTAATAGTAATTTTACAGTTGCTGCCTTCAAATATTTTGAACTGAAGCTGTTTTTAATAAACTCTGACCAAGAGTGGAAAATTTTATAGAAAAAAAAATTTACGTTTCAGTCCTAAAATAGGACTTGAGGGAAATATTTATTTTTAAAATAAGGAACTATTGAGACTAATATTCAGTGGTTATTTCTCTGAACTTTTAGACTTCTTTCTTTACCTTCACACATGCTGTTAACCACTTACAAATTTAAAATTTTATTTGTTGAGTTTTTGTAATATGTCAGACACTGTGGCATATGCCAGACACTGTGGCTCAGCAGTAGTGCACTTGCCTCACAGGTGTGAGGGCACTGGGTTTGATAAAATAAATAAACAAATTTTATCCATCTACAACTAAAATATATATATACTTTAAAAAAAAMCAGACACTTTACTTAAATACTTCATGTGTTCGATCTTATTTAAACTTACAACAATTCTATCAATTAAGTACTATTATCACCTACAATATTGAGATGAAGAAACTGAGCCCCAGAAAGGCTTACTAACTCACCCAAGGTCCACAAACTAAAATAACAGAACTAGGATTCAGATCCCTTTTCTTAGTCTCGCTTCTTAGTCTACACTTCTGTCTTGCATACAATCCCCACTTCTTTTGATGGGTCCTACTTTCCTTATCCTATAGTCTGAACCTATACCTTATACTGTACTGTGACATGCATTATATCATTTGGTCCTCAAAACTACCCAGTAAAATAGGAAGGGAAGCTATTTTTCTGTTTTTATAAATGAGGAAACTGTGTGCTAGCATGATTAAATAACTTGCTCCAAATCACTAGCCACATTTTAAAATTGAAACTAAAAGGTAGGCAGGTTTAATAATAAAGTAGTATATAGAATATGAGAGGCAGTGTATTTAGATGAATCAAGAATGAACTATTATAAATAGATCCATGAACAAGCTCTTTCCAGAGTCTGATTTATTATCTTAGTTAACTGTATTAAATACAAACATGTTCTTGGGTGCTRGTCTTCAAAATTAAAGAAGATATAGTCTCTGTGCTCCAGATACTTGTAGTCCAAACTATGACATGGAAAGAGTTGTTTAGTAATGAAGCCTAGGAAAACCTCCAATATCAAGGTCAAAGAGAAGATTAAGAGGAAGGAGTAATAAACTCACATTTATTGAGTGCCTGTTTATTCCTCCCCAAAACCTTGAAAGATAAGTATTGTTAACCTTTTTATTTTATTAATATTAGATGAGGGTATCAGAAGTCAGATGAATTTTAGGATAAGCACACTATTCAAGGTCAAATGATTAGTAAAATGGCAGAGCTGGGATTTGAGATTTGACTCCAGTTTCTTTCTCCTAAATCACTTTGTTTTCCCTCAAATAAATACTATTGATCCCATATATGTAAAATTACATATGTGTGTGTGTGTTTGCACATGAACACCATTAGCCTTGGTGGCATTTTGGATGATCTTATCTCCATCCTTTTCTACCTTTTGTCAATARCTTTGAGTTATATTCTACAGGAAAATAATCTAATAGGAATTGTCAGTAGCAGCTGTTAGGCACTTTTAGAGGTAATTTAGGAGGTAGTTTCAGGGCTGAGCAGGAGAATGAACTAAAAAATCAGAATACCTTTAAAAGCTCTGAAGTAGCAGCAGAATTTTGCCCCTCTAATGCCCAAAAGACTGATCATGATTAATACAAATATACTCTATGAAACAGTTAATTTATATCATCAAAATAAAGGTGATGAAATTACTTACTGACTATACTAGAAATCATCAGTAATATGTTAATTTGGTGGTAGTATCAAGAGTCATTTTAACACTTTCATCACTAATAGAAGTTAACTCATCCCAGGTAATGTACTAGTGTTTGGAGCATGTAATGATCAGAACTTCCTATACAGTAGGTACAATATTATTAACTTCTATTTTACTGATGAGAAAATAGGAACAAGAGAACTAAATTGCTTAAATTCATACAGCTAGAAATTGGGTTTTCAAAACTATAACTTAACCTTGGCAATTTCTCCTTAGAAAAGCATCCAAAATAAATACATCGAACTTCACTCAAGTCCGTTTAATAAGCATTTATCCAATTCTTAAGCCACCCACAGAKGACTGCTATCTTACACCAGCCCTCCTCCTCTCTTACAGGTAAGGAGACATGTACACATGGAGCTGGCACAGGGAGAAGTGTCCCAGAGATATTTTTCCAAGTTTTAGTTAAATTAGTGGTTTCTAGAAATGGGGACATGTACACAAAGGTTGGGCAGGATAATCCTTTAAAATGTTGGAGCCATTTCTATCTTCATAGAACTAAATTATTTCCAATTGTTAATTTTCTAGTACACACTGGTGATGCCTTTCTCATTCCCTACATCAAAGGAATATTTGTTCATGATGCACAATACAACTATCCTCAGGATAGGGAACAAATCCACATCCTCAAATGGATTATGAATTTGAGATGTCCTTCTGTATTTTAAGTTATCCAAA